AGACGCGGTTCACACGAGGGCGTGTACGGGAATGAGAAAACGGTCATAACTCCGTAACGGTCCAAAATCGGACACATGTTTATATAACTTTTTTGATCACAAAGACCTAGGAAATCACCTCCTGCAGTTATGCCCTAAAGTCGTGAAACACTCTGTATAGCGTATTAACACAATATTATTTGAAACAAGTCTTTTAAATTTCGAATTCCTATTGTAATCCAAACCGTATCTTATTTTTGAAAGGCTATTGTTATTTTTTTGTTATTCTTAGTGAGTTGAGACTGAGTCCACTTGGTACTGCGGCCACTATTGGCCTGTTGTACCAGCCCTAAATGATGGATGATAGTGATTATGGAGTAAATGATGGAATGAACATTGGCAGGGGAAACCGAAGTATTCGGAGAAAACCTACCCCAACTCCACTTTTTGCACCACAAATCACACATGACCTCACCCGAGCTCGAACCCGGGTCGCCGTTTGGAAGTCTGTATAGATTGCACAGATGTTGACCTGCCGAAGCATCTGGTATCGAACTCTGACCACTGGATGGAGGACAGCACGACTTGGTGATACATATAAAGAAAGTCTACACGGAGGTAGGAAATATGTGGTTTCGGTTGAAATCTTAGGGTGATTTTATGGAGTTGTCTTCATTTCATGCATGCAGCTTTTCTCTCACGGAAGATTTGACATTGGTCCTGAACTATTAAATGCGCAGACGTGAGATTTCTTGTTATAAAAGTACTCAGACGTTGTAATAAATTTTACCTACTTTCATTTTTGGTTTGGATTTATTGAACGAAGACACATCTCACGTCCCTACGATAAACCGTATTGCGAACTAAATAGTGTTACGTCTAATATCATTTGCAAATGCCTGGGCTTGAACTCCAGTCACTTAGTAAACGTTTTGCTACCTTTGTATACATTTAGACATTTGATGTCAACTGATTCTTCTCTCCGAGGCAGTTAGATCGACAACAGAGTGACAATATTCGCGCCTAGCAGTCACACGGAAACACAGGAACGGAGATCATCGAAAGAAAGGATGTTACAGATACAGAGCCTGCCAAAATTCCAGCTCGCCTTCTCACAAAATGAATAAATGTTATTCCATTAGAAGACTAAAATAATTCCTACTTGAGACTTAAATTTATGTATTTTACGTTACAGAGAGAGGGACCACCAAAATTCCAGTTCACCTTCTCACAAAATGAATAGCTTTCATTCCATAACAATGGGAGGTGTAGCATTTGTGTTGAGACATTTTTACTCCCATCTGAGATGGACCGTAACACAGTGTCCCGTGTTCACTCAACGGAATGAAATCGTGTGCCCGTTAGGTCACCAAAACTCGGTCATCTATGGACCACGTGACAGTTTCATCCACACAGAAACTGTAACTACCGGTTCAGAAGAACTCTAATGGCTTCCACATCTATGGATTAGGTTGACGCTACTTACCAGGAACGTGTCCTCCTAAGCGTCCCTGCACTGCCCGCACCGGTCACTGACTGACTGGCTGCCTCATTTTCAGAAGAAAGAAATAATTTTGTGCCTCTGTGTTTGTGTCAGCTGATTCGTGTCGCCCCTCCAAGCTGTCTTCCCCCCTTTCCCCCAACCAAATGAAGGTACGTCTAACATCGAAGAACGCACTTCGCTTATCCAGGTTACTGGCGTCCATATTGTGAATAGCCTATTTATGGATGTCTCTCAGCACGTGTCATCAGAATTACATATTGCAATGTCCCGCATTATAAAGCTGGCCTTCCATTTTGTTGTAGTTGGCGGCCCGGGTTCGATCCCGGATCTAGTCAAGTGGGATTTGTGGTGGACAAAGTGGCGCTGGGTCAGGTTTTCTCTGAGTATTGTACTTCGGTTTCCCCTGTCAATCTTCATTCCACCAATTGCTCCACAATCACCCTCACCTATCATCTGGGGCTGGTACAATATGCCAGAAGTGGCCGCAGTACAAGGGACTTAGTCCCACCCCACTAGCAATAAAAAAAAAGACTTTCTCACCTCGATCACTGATTGATTCGTAGGTGTAGAAGATGTTCTTTCAGCTATCTCGGTTATTTATTTCTCAGTGAATAAAATGTTATTGGTCATTCTTATGAGGCGAAATGTCGAAGATGGCCTGAATTGGTAAATATATGGAAACACTCTGGCGTGGCCTACTTTAAGGGACTGTTAACCGCTTTCAATTGGAGTGTCTCAGGAAGGGCACTAGAAGTTCTATTCAGAATACGCAGTTCTCTGTGTTTGTTAAATAGCGTTATCTGCTAATTAGTACTTTGCATAGGTAGACTGATATGTGAATACAAGCCTCAGTTAATGGAATGGCAAGTTACAACAACAACCAACATGTCCTTGCACGTAAACGTCAAGCCACGAAGACATGTGGGGGTGGGGGCTATAAATTCACACGTTCTTATCGCGATAGTAGATGGAGGTGAGTCATTAGCTTCACACTCCGGCCGCTTTACTCCAGGTATTCTTTATAAATGATATAGTCCAGTGATTGAGGCTAGCTCTTTCTAGGGGACCCAACTGAATAGGTGGTTTCCTTCACCTGAGGATGGAAACAGATCCAGTTTCCGAAACGTCGTGTTTTTATTTGTTATCTTAAAAACCAGGACGATGGATAAAGTCCAAAATCCCAACATATCAGTGGGATATAGTCTTGGCCCCATAGCTGGTCCGGATAATAGGGAGAAAATATTTATATTGCTACTGACGGGTATCGAACCACGATTCCTTAGTCTTCCAAGCCCTAATCCAGTCACTATGCTGACTGAACCCTCTCAACTGCCGATAATGATGATGATACCTAATTTTATGAAGTGTAAAATTCTAGTAGAATCTAACAGTGACAGACGTAGTTCGGTGCAATTGGATATATTGCAATTGCATGAGTAATTGGTCTGACGCATTGTCTAATGCTGCGTGTGTTTCACAGGAAAAGTGTTTATAATATGCAACGGCTTCTGACATCAGCGAAGTTCTCTCACAGTGCATATGCCGGGGGTGAAATACTCGTATAAACTTGACACTCCACAAAGAGTTGTTTTTTTTTTTTTTGCTTCTAGGATATAACTCCGTGCAGTGCTGTGAAAGTCGACTGACGTTTCGGAGGAACTTGTCGCTTCCATCTTCAGGACTGTAGTGTAACTCAAGCAGGAAACCGGCATGAAGCAGGAAGCAAGTTCGGTTACTCTTTAGTCCTGAAGATTGAGCCGCGATTATCCACAAAAACTTAAATTGATTATCATTGGACTAACTCACTTACTTACTTATGGAGCTGAGCCCTTCTTGAGGAGAAGCCAAATACGCAACTACTCAAGAATTTCCGAGCATTTTATAGAATCCGAAGGTTCATTACCGTGTTCACAAGTGCCCTCCACTGGTCACTATCCTGAGCCAGATCAATCCAATCCATACCATTCCATCCTATCTCTCTAAGATCCATTTTAATATTGTCCACCCGCCTACGCCTTGGTCTTCCCAGTGGTCTCCTTCCTTCTGGCTTTCCCACCGATATCCTATATGAATTCCTCGTCTCCCAATTCGTGCTTCATGCCCTGCCCACCTCATTTCATTGGACTACAAGGCAAAATGTTCACAACCTCCGCTCTGCGAACCTCAAATATGACACTCAATATTCGACACCCTATGGGTAAGTTTCTTTCCATTGTCCACGGAGCAAGTGAAACCGGTTCGCTGTGAACTAGGTTCTTCTTGGGAAGTGACTTCATTCGTTCTACTTCCTCAGTACCGAACATGAACACAGAGATTCGCCTCAGTGGCCGCCAGATCTGTGAATGCAGTTGTCAGTGAAGTGTGCCAAGGAGTACGGACACCAACATTACTCCAGGGGTTCAATATCCATACCGATCAGCATTAATCCTACGTTTTACACGAGGATCAAAACGAACTTCGCCCGATTCCCCAAGAAGTGCGTCCTAATAGAATGCCCGTGCCAGGACTACTACAGTTTGTCTTGCTGAGGCCTGTATTTTAATAAGTTACGAAATGTACGCATAGTTCTGGAGCGTTTGCGCGCTGTATTTGTACGGCCAAGATAACACAGTCTATGAGTATACGGAACGGCCTGGCCCGCTGAAGAATGGGGCTTCGATTCTCAAAAGGGCTAAGATATTTTTCTCTTCTCCACAGCGTTCAGACTGACTCATTAGCGCACCAAGCATGCAGTCCAATGGATACCGGGGATTGAGTGGGCGGGGTTTGAAGCCCACCACTCACCTTCAACTAGTGCCGAGATCCAGAATGGTCAAACTATACCTCCACTTTCCCATCATTCTTCATGGCCTGGTGCTTAATTAATTAAGCATGAGGGTAACTTTTCCTTTAGCAGCTCATTTTGTTTAATTATTTCAAAAACTGAAATACATATGAAACGATTTTTTTTCCTTGGCACTACAGCCCCAGTGGGTCTAGGCCTACCTCCATGAACTTCTCCGTTCACTTCGGTTTTTCTAGATCTTACACATTCGGCAAGACTCCTTGGGCGAGTGATCAGCTCGTCGCAACGCCTCTACCTGTACACAAACACAGAAAAACTCACACAAACATCCATGCCCTGAGTGGGATTCGAACCAAAGATCCCGGTTTCCAAGCGAGCAAAGACACTGCATGCCTTAGACCGCTGGGCTACCTTGACCGGCGAAACGAAAATATACCGGACGTAAAACGTACTGCTTATTCTTCTCTACAGCTCCAAATATTTAAATATTTAACAAGTTAGGCGCGAATTGCACCCAAGATGTGTTTAGAAATGAGTGTTGGGCTTTAAGTAAAGTTTCCTTTGCAGATGTCCGATTTTATCCAAAACTGGAATTGGTAAAATAATTTCAAGTTATCGTCATTAAAATGCATTTTGCGGTTCTCGTGTCCGTTCGTACAGACGAGCAGTAAGGGTGATTTTAATAGGCATTTCGAAAGGAACATAAGCGTTCCTAAAGACATGTCCTACTTGCAGATGTGACGTCTTGATTTCAAACAAGGAGCCAATCAACAGCATACAAATTGCAGTGGTAGCATTGGGTATGTTGCTGACAAAGCAGACGATCTACTCACATCTTTCATTTCTTGCAGCCTTGCGTAACCAGCATATTGAAATACACAAATGAAATGTGTGTCAAATAATTTGCAAGGCGTGCCATTTCTGAGAAACTTTGTGATAAAAGGCTTGAAATGCTTTGAAGCTTCATTGTTATGGACTAAAACATAATTCCTCCAGGAACTGATAGAAGTATACAAATCTTTATGTTAAATTTTGTCGAAATCCATTTAGTGTTTCTTCTGGAGAGAAAGTGAGAACATTAGGGCGAATATGACCTGTTTAATCAGCAGAAAGTTGCGAAAATGATTTAATTCACTTGATGAAGAGACGGAAGTGGACAATATTAAACTGGATCTTAGAGACGTAGGATAGGATGATATAGGTTGGATTGATCTGGCTCAGGATAGGGACCAGTGGAGGGCTCTTGTGAACACGATAATGAAACTTCACGTTCCATAAAATGCTGGGAAGTTCTTTAGTAGGTACACAATTGGCAGCTTCTCAAGAAGGGCTCGGCTCCATCGGTGAGTGAGTGAGCGAGCGAAAACAAGACCGAAGCGACGAATTTCGAAAAATTTAAGGAATCGGAGAACGAGAAGTTTCGCTGATGAGGCAATTCTTAAACTCTAACCGAAATGTATAACAACTATTTTATCTTGTCTGTTCAGCTTCGCAAATTGCCATGGCCAGTACTGGCATCAATTGCTGGTCAAAACAGAGAAGTCTCAACGTCGCGTGTGGACACAGATGAAGCACAGGGTGAGCAGAAGGAAGTAGAGAGAGATTTTGTGCCAAGCCGATTTCTGATAGCGTCACCAATGACTGAAAAATAAATATTCGAATGTAAATTGGACATTTTTCTTTTCTTCAGCTCGAAAATTCAAGACATCCCTATGCTTACTACTGTACTAGCCATCATGAAGTGCAAAGAACACACAAAAATATGAAGAAAGCAGTCTTCTGCGATGCGGCGCCGTGTATATATTGTGTTAACTGACGTTACGGAGGAACATATCGCCTCCATCTTCAGGGAAGAAAAGAAGAAGAAATCTGCGAGCGAACCAGCGTGAGTAGCTGCAACAGACTGCCTTTCTAATAGACATTTGTAGCCGGTCACAGTAGCCGAGAGGTCTAAGGCATGTACTGTCTTCGCTCACTTGGAAACCGGGATCGTGGGTTCGAATCCCACCCAGGGCATGGATGTTTAGTTTGTGTGTGTGCGTTTTTCGGTGTTTGTATACAGGTAGAGGCCGTGCGACGAGCTGATCACTCTCCCAACGAGTCGTACCGAATGTGTAAGGTCTAGACAAACCGAAGTGAACGGAGAAGTTTATGGAGGTAGGCCTAGGCCCACTGGGGCTGTAGTGCCAAGGGGAAAAAAAGTTATGAAGTGCCGGTCACGGTAGCCGAGCGGTCTAAGGCATTTACTATCTTCGCTTGCTTGGAAACCGGGATCGTGGATTAGAATC